CTATCTATCTATCTATCTATCTATCTATCTATCTATCTATCTAGCTAGCAGCTATCAAAAATGTTTGATCAGCACAGGTATAAGTGCACTTCATTTGAGTATATCATAAAACAAAGGATTATGGGAAAGCTCTGTTTGTGTATGAGATTTCATCGGTGCTTGTATCATTACACATTCCTGTATGACCACCACAAGGGGGCAGTAATTACACTAAATGAAACGTTTTTTTCTTTAAAATGTTGCTAAACGTTTTGTACATTTTATAAAGAACTGATCTACAACATCACAACTACCTCAAAACAATCTTAGCAGTGATTATGATACAGTTTTATGGTACATACAAATAAAAGACCTAAAAGCAATCTTTGCAAAACTCTCTTTCTCTAACTCCAAACATCAGCAGAATGGAGACAGATGTGTAATGAGAGCATTGGACAGAGCATTGGGACTCTACAGTTCTCTACTGCAGACTCTTCTCACAGGACGGGTCAGGACTCAAGGGCACAAATACTGATTTCTTACTTTAATCAGGTTTAGTCTGTCATACTGGAAAGAAAGTTTATCATGAGTAAGAGGTCAGGTGTGAGATGTTTTACTAATATATATATGTTTTTCTGCCTCTGCGACACAAGTAATTTGTCTCTACTGTGGCATCGTTAACTGAAATCTGCTTTGGTGTGATGCTGCCTCGGTACAGTTTGTTGTCAATTACAAGTTAACAACTTTTTTCATAGTGTATTAGACACACTTCAAAACATTTAACTTGGCATTACTAGCTAGCTTCACACAGAGTTTGTTTAGTATACTAGGTTAGCACAGACAGGTGAAGCAGAGCATAATGGGATGGCTCACAGGCAGAGTGGAGGTACAGTAGAGCAGAAAAGAGTGATGCTTACTTTAGACAGTCTCTTGTGTGACTAGCATGCACGAGAGGAAGAACAGATATCAGAAAACAAACAAAAACAAAACTGTATGAATAAGTGCAGAGAAATGAAAAAAAAAACTGTTGGGTGGTAAAGCTTCTCCACATAGCAGAAGAGATGTTCTGTGAATTACTCCTGTACATGAGGTGCTGATGGATATGAAATGATTATGCAACGATTACTGACTTCAAATCAGACCAGAATGTAATGTGCCTCACATTGTGACAGGCATAAAGTATTTCTCAAATGATTTCCTTTTGTAAAACATACTTTTTCATAAAATACATTGTTCTTCTTGAAGAGGAAAACTTAACCTTTTATCTTGCAAATGAAATCCTTCAACAGATGCAATGATATGAAAATGAAAGCAAGAGTTCAAAATCTACTGAGCTGCCTCGCAGTCTACTGTACATCTTTAGAAGCAAAATATTTACGTACAAATAAAAATATTAAATTAAAGATATTATAATAAAATACATATTAATATTAAATATATTAC